GGGGGGGGGCGTGTGTTACCATAGAAACGAGGCAGCGCCCCGATATGGGGTCGGGGTTATGGTAGAGATGGATGGGGCTGTGCCCCAAAATGGGGTCGGAGTTACCATGGATCTGGGGCAGCACCCCAGAATTGGGGTCTGGGTTAACTAGAGAGGGGGCATCACCCCAAAATGGGGTTGGGGTTGAGAGACGGGGCAGCACCCCAAAATGGAGGCTTGGAGTTACCATAGAGACAGAGCAGCACCCCAAAATTGGGGTCTGGGTTAACTAGAGAGGGGGCATCCCCCCAGAAATGGCGGAGGGTTGCCATAGAGATGGGGCATCACCCCAAAATGGGGTCGGGGTTAATATAGAGACAGGGCAGCACCCCAAAGGGGGTTCAGGGTTGTTGCAGAGATGGGGCATCACCCCAAAATGGAGGCTTGGAGTTACCATAGAGACAGGGCAGCACCCCAAAATGGGGTTCAAGATTGCAATAGAGATGAGGCAGCACCCCACAATGGAGGTTTGGGGTTACCATAGAGACAGGGCATCACCCCAAAGGGAGTTCAGGGTTGCTGCAGAGATGGGGCATCACCCCAAAATGGAGGCTTAGAGTTACCATAGAGACAGGGCAGCACCCCAAAATGGGGTTGGGGTTAATGTAGAGACCGGGCATCACCCCAAAGGAGGTTCAAGATTGCCACAGGGATGGGGCAGCACCCCACAATGGAGGCTTGGGGTTACCATAGAGACGGGGTAGCACCCCAAAATGGGGTCAGGGTTACCATGGAGATGCAGCATCCACTGCTGATGCATTTCAGGGGTACAAAACCCTCCCCCCTGTAGTCAGTGGGGGCAGCCCCAAAGCCTGGGTCTCCCTCGGGGGGGAGCACTCCCTTAACAGCACCCTGTCACCCATGGGACACCGTGCTCGGAGGGGACTCGCCCGGCAAGGACCCCTCCACCCCACAGCCTCCCCCCAACACCACCTTTCACGTTTAGTCCTGAGCAAAGCCCCGGTGACACCCACCCTCCTCCGTGCCGGTCACCAAACCCGGGGAAGCCTCCTGAGCCCCGTGGGGTGGCACTGCCACACTCGCCCGGTGGCAACCGGCCAGTTCCATGGCCACAAATCCCAACGCCGGTGGGTTTTGGGCAGGATTTCAGCATGGTGGAAGGACAACACCGAGCCTGGCAGCACCGAGCCTGGCAGCACCGGCTTCCCCTCGCCTCCTGCCCAGCAGCCGCGAGACGCCAGCGCATGGAGGCACCCAAAGGTGCTGCCAGACTGCTCATCCCCATCCCCACCGTCAGCATCCCCCCAAAAAACACCCTCCCCAAGGCCTCGGCTGAGCAACGGCGTGGCTGTGCTTGTTTATCCCCACGCTGCAGTCCTTGCGGGCAAGGGGTGGCCAGGCAGGGCTAGCGCAGCAGGCAGGGACCCCCGCGCGCAGGCAGAGCGCAGGCAGCACCCTGGCTCCTGCCTGCAACAAATGGCTCTGCCTGTGGCTGAGCAGCAGCAGAGCTCCCCGCCGGTTCCCTCTCGCCTGGTGCCAGCCGCTCTCCCCGGCAGATGGATGGAGGCCCCCGGCGTCACCCATGGGTGCTGGGCAGGCCGCAGCTCTGCCCTGTGGGTGCCACACGGCCGGGGTGTCACCGTTGGGTGCCAGCACACCCGCTGCACCTTGTCCCCGAGGGCAGAGCGCAACTGGCACATGCCGCGAGATCCGGACACCCGCCTCTGTGACGGCAGCACCCGCCAGGGCACCGCGAGGGGTTTGTGGCGTTTTGGGGGGGGGGGCACCCATCCCCTCAGAGCAGCTCCCCTCTCCCTTTCCCCCACGGCGGAGCAGAAAAGGTGGCGAGGGAGGTTTTCTGGGTGGGGTGAAGGCGCCATCCCCACTCCCACCCTGCACCCATCACAGCACCCTGCCCTGGTCCGATTTCGAGGCGACACCCCCCTCAAAAAAAAAGATTCTCGGAGCCTAAGCTTGACCCACCGCGATGGTGTTTCCATCAAGGGTCCCCAAAATGGACCAGTCCGTAACGGAGACGGAGCCCACTGGCATGGCCAGGCTGCTTTTGGGGTTCGTGGGGCTGGGGGTGGCCCCCAGCCCTGTCACCCCACGTGCCCTGCAGAAGCCAGAGCTTTCAGGGTTCCCCTCCCCGGGCACCCCTGGTGGGGGGGACCCACTTTGCAGCCCCCATCTCCATTTCTTCCCCCTGTGCTTCCGCAGAGCTGGTGGCTGCGGTGCCCGGGGAGGGGTTTGGGGGGGTCTTACCTCCAGGGGTGCAGGGTTAGTAAGGGGCTGCAGGGGCTGCAGGGGCTGCAGGGGCTCAGCAGCGTCGGGCTCTGGCTGCTCGGAGACAAACTGCAAGGC